CTCCAGGACACCGCGGGCGTCATCGCGACGCTGTGCATCGGCCGCAGCGTGCACCAGAAGCTGGAGCTGCTGCAGCGCCTGGTGGTGGGCCTCGGCTACGACTCACTCACAGTCTTCGGCGACTGCTTCGACGAGGTGGGCGCGCGGCGGCGTTTGGAATGCTCAAACACCCAAACAGGAACGGAAGAATCAGAGATGTCTTTAAAGGTCGGCGACGCGGGCCGCGCGGCGCGGTGGCAGCGCTGGGTGCAGCTTTCGGGGAGAGACACGCGGCTGCGGCGCCGCGACGGCGAGCCCCCTCGGGCATGTTGAATGGATGTTTTCTTGCCTTTCGTGCCGAGAGCTTTGATTGTGAGCAGCGTGACCAAGCGGAACTCTTTCCATTTTGGGGGCCCCGCGGCCGCGGTCCTGGTGTTTGTTATCTCGGGTTGATTGTCGAGATTGTTGCTGCTGATCTGGTCTGTCGCCGCAGAACTCATCCTGCGCCACGATGTTCACATCGTCACTGCTGTCTCGACGCCCAGGCGCATGCACGCCACTGCGACCAACAGACCAGAGCGTGCGTGCACGCGCGCGCGCGCACACACACACATACACACACACACACACACATAATTCTCTCTCTCACACTCACACAGCGCGCGCATACACACATGCACACATTTTTACAAAACCCTGCTCAAACACGACCCTCAATCCTCATACGGCCCCAGGTGACTCTGCTGGACCCCGTACGGTTTCCTGGCGCTATCAAGGTGTTTGCGCGCGAGATCTGCCGCAACGACCTGCTGTCATTCGGCCGGCTTCACTTCTTCTTCCCTGACAGGTGGGTGGCTTTTTGTTTGTGTGAGACAGACAGACCGTTTGTGAGGGCTAAAGGACAAGAGGGTATGTCTGAGACAGAGGGCCAGTGTGTGTGTGCGCGCATGTGTGTGTGCGCGCATGTGTGTGAGCATGTGTGTGTGGGGGGGCAGGGGCCAGTGGCGGTCGGAGCGCTGATGGGTGGTAAAGGCGTGGACAGAGGAGTGGCCCAGGGGGTGTGGATGGGGGGCGGAGAGGGGAGGGACCCAGGGCTCCGCATAGTGG